ACAAAAAATCACAATCAAGCATAACGCCAAGGTTATCCGATGAGAGTTCCAAGTAGGCAGCCTCGTCCTAAGAAGGAATCGCAAAGATTCCTGCGAAGGCAAGCTTGCTGCAAATTGGGAGGGACCCTACCACGTTAGAGTGAAAACAGAGAACGGGGCCTACTACCTATAATACTTTACTAGGAAAGAATTAGCTCGACCATGGAACTTTGAAAAGCTGAAACAATATTATAGCTAAGGCCCTAAATGTCGGCGTGTCTCGCCCAAGCGACGGACACAGTCACCGACCACAGGCGCGCGCCCAGGTACAAGCGTTGCGCTATCAACACGAATCTAAGCAAGGTTTAGTTAAAGAAAGACTTAATTCATGTTCGACAGCGGTTCCTCGACCGAGCCCGCCGTCGTCAAAGTACCATGAACGACATAAACCCCAAATATGATGGGAAGTTCACGCCGCAAACTCAGGCCACAAACGCGGCCTGAGCTCCGCTCCCCTGCCTAGAAACAACCCAGGCCATTTGACCAGTTCCCTGCATTGTCAAATATCATTTGTCGAGCATACCCGAAACATAACAAATTACTAAAGGCCTCGTACGACCGCATAGGACGACACATGACACTTAGAAAAGTAACAAAAGGTATAAATAAGCATATAAATACATATCAACATAAGGCGGCCACAAGGGCCGCAAGTGTGCATGTTACAATAAAAAAGGCCAACCCCATAAAATAAAGTTACAAATTAAACAAACGGCACGCATGCCAAAATATAAACCGAGGAAGATTCAATGCTCCTTCTGCTGGGTCTTCTCTTGGGTCACCTACCCGTGCTCTTCACCACCTTCGCTGAATTGGAGGAACTCAGGGACGACTATCTTGTCATCCTTAATATAATAGAGGAACCTTGTGCCTTCAATAGTCAACTTGATACCAGAGTTCACCAACTTCAATTGATCCACAACATTCTGAAAAGCCTCCTCGCTAATGGCCAAGAGATCATCGTCGACCTGAGTGATCTAGACAACTAGCTCCGCCAGAGTTGACAACTTCTTCATCTCCTCGATCTCATCTTTAGCAGTGGCCTTTAGCTTCTCCACCAAGTCCTCAGCAACCTTCTTCTAGGAAGCCAGGGGGTCCCTTTCCATGGACATCTCCTCGCAGCCCTTTCGTGCAGCTTCTTCAAGCTCCTTGTCCTTCTCCTCCTGGAGTTTCTTGACCTTCTCTTCCAGGGCCTCCGCCGCAGCTTGGGACTTCTTCAACTCAGACTCGAGCGGAGAGCCATCCTCAGTGTACACCACCGCCATCTCCAGGATCCTCATCAAGGCATAGGCATACTGCGTGAGCATGGCCTGCTTGCTGGGACGATCCATTTCCTCGATCTTGAGAGATTCTGCCTGAGGAATGGACAGGGAGGACCCCTCGAAGAACTTCCTATTATGCAGGCAAGGAGGCATCTCAAATTTTCTCTTAACGGACTCTCGGCTGAGGTCTACGATTTCATTCGTACGGGCATGCTTGAGCCTCGAACTCACGGGCATAGGAGACGTTTGGGTGGCTGGCGGGGTAGACGAGGAAGTCTTCAATCCTGTCTAGGGAGGAGTCGTTCATTGACTAAAACGGCTTTTTCCTATGGTTGCGTCGCCATCCGCTCATGCGCCAAAGACATATTACCTGCAAAAACAACAAACACATCAGCACGTGAAAAGAGAAGCATTTTGAGCAAAATAAAAAGCAAGAAGCTACCCAAAAGTTTAAAAGCCTCCTTACGAGTGCTACACTCGAAAAGCTCTTTCGTGTTGATATACTGGGCTTCCACCTGTAGCCCCCTATTTATTTCATAAAGCATCTTCCCAACGCGAGTCACGCACTGGACGGGGAGGAAACTGTCCATAAAGGTCACCAGTTTAAAATAGCTGGCCCGATCATCGTCCCCCAACTGATGAGGAGTAATTATATACTCATCAGTCAAGCGGGTAAAGTAATCCCCACACCAGCAGAAGGGGAACAGGAACAGACTCCGGGCAACTATCTTGCCTTCCTCGTCTATCAAATCCTCCCCATTCTCGTCTGTAGAGACCTCCCAAACAAAGGTCGAGTCGGTAGCTTTCTCCGACACAAGCTCGATCACATAAAACCTCTCTTTGAATGTCTGAATAAATTTAGAGAAGGGTTTGAATAATTTCCCCCCTGTTTCAGAGAAACCCAACCGAATTTCCTCCCTCACACCTGTCGTTGGAGATGGAAGATGTTAAAGAAAAATGGAAGAGTGGCCCCGATCTGCAAATACTCGCACAACATCCTCGACCTAAGTCCTACTCAAATGGCACAGCTAAACGAACAAGGAAATACCCGGGAGTTCTCCCTGGCACATCCGGGGAAAAAGTCCCCGCGCACAAAACCCAGAACTCTCATGAGGGAACCACCGGAAAGCTCATAAGCACACCAGAATCCATGGTTCCCTTCGGCAGCAAACACCACCATGTCGTTACTACTCCGGGATCAGCTAAAAGCTTAAGGCCTCGTAAATTCTTCTTACCTAAATGACCATTACGACGTCGACAAAAGAGAAAGTGGCCAAACCATCGTCTACCACCAACAGACACCACTAAACGCCCTAGAACTACTTCATTTCAGCCTTAACCGCATGCATTCTAAAGCACAGAAACCAGAAAAATAGATAACAAGCAAAGAATCGACATACTTACTTGGTCGGGGAAGAAGCTTCTGGGTTTGAGTAGCTCTGGTCGGATTTGGTACGGTGGCCAGAACGAAACTTGACGGCGGCAGACGGTTGGGAAAGATGAACAGAGAGCAAAGAGGAGAGAGAAGCGAAAGTTCAAAATGAGCAGACTCTCTCACTATTTATAGGCAAACTCCAGGCACGTGCACGAGCACACGCGGGTAGGGCATCATCATAACCCTAGCCTAGCCATCATCACACATTTAATGCAGCACATGGCTCGAGGCATATGTGGCACTTTCACTCTTTAGATCCTATCAACCATTGGTCTCCCCGGACCTCGAGCTCTCCGGCAAACAACGTTTTAGATGCCCGGGCACAAATTCCTTCGGGCACAAGGTAGCTTACGACGACTATGCCCGGGAAGCAGACTGTCCTTAAGTCATCACTACCATGCTCGGTAGCAACGACTTGGGAGGCTACTGTTCCGGACTTGCCCGATAGCTAGGCATGGCCCAATCTACTTCTGCTCCTAGAACGACCCAATTGCCTAAGTCCAACCAATTTGGGGGGAGCATCTACCCTTCTCCCCCTCCAGCAGGGAAGGCTGACCAATTTACCCTTGGTCACAACGCTTCTCCTCGACAAGACTTACCCGTCACGCGCGGCTCCACCATCTAAAAACAGCCAAGACGCTTGTGCCCGTAACTGCGCCTCTTCCCGTAGCAACGACTAGTTATGGGCACCACTACCCGTTCCAACGGGTAGTTCTGGCAGTTACCTATTATTCGAGAAACGGTTATCTTGCCCCAAAAATAGGGACCAATGGCCAAGCGCTGGGAGCACTATAAAAACTCTATCACTTGAGAGGGTTAGGTATCCAATATTCACCCTGATATACCCATATTATGTGATTTCTCTCTCTCTCTTTCTCGTTTTCTCAATTTAGCATCGGAGTGCCTTGCAGTTACACTCCCCTCCTACTATTTCACATCCAGCATCACAGACGATTGTCTTCGACCCACCTCAGGTTCTGATCAACTGGTAAGATCAGTTAACTATGATGATGATAGCGATTTTGGTGTGCTCTGATCCTAGATGGGGATCAGAGCGAGTGAACCTGAGAGTTCACAATTTGGTACCACATGCATTGAGTCGAATTATTGAGTCTCATTGCATGGTTGTTGTGCTGTTGTGTTTGGATTTGTGTGGAGGTGTGATTGGTGGAATGAGTGATTATGCATGTAATAATCTAATGCTTACTTATTATTATGCATTGTTTTATATAATTGTGATATCTCACCCCTTCTGTTCGAATGTTGCCTTGACATGGGCATCGTGCAGATAATCTACAATAGAGGTGTAGATGTGAGTGGAAGATGGTGGTCTTTTTTTTTTATTTCTGTTGATTCGTAGCCTACTCTAATGTGTAACACCGGAAGTGGAGCGTTTTTGTGTTTTATTATGTTTGGTGGAGTTTCCCATATTCGTCTTTTATGTCTGTTATTTTTATAATTATTATAAGTAATGATGATGTTTTTAAATATTGAGATAGTTGATTATCTATATTTTTAGCTGCAATAAAAATTAAAGTTAAATCTGTGAATTATTATTATTACAATTGTAAATTTTATGTGTTACATGTCTATTCGCATGAGCAGATTTTTGTTGAAGTTAAATGCATGTTATTTTAATTTATTTTAATAATTATTTTATAAATTTTTGAGAGATATTTAGGGTGTTATAGATAACATGTCCCTCATATGCTTGAGTTAATTTTCAAATCCAAAGTCGACCCTAATACTTGTTCTGGCCATTTTTAGTCATAACAAATTTAATACATACAAGCAAAATAAAGACGAGAGAATACAAAGATAATACTGGTTTGATCCTGTGACAAATCACCAAGTATAGATGACAGATCAAGTCTGAGTGACTTTGAGGAACCAAAATTACTATAACTGTATCTCTATCTCTCTCCTAATTTGCTCTCGCTCATCCTCTATACATTTATTCTTTCTTATCATAATCAACACAAAATGCATAAAGTCACGGTAATTTTCGCCCCCACAAAGTTAGTGAATATGTTCCCTATAGATGACTCCACTAATAAATTCATAATTTTCTTAATCACATTAGTGCATTACCAAGTGTCTCAACATTGTTACACACATTTATTACCACTGACACTAGTAACCAAATTGAAATTAGTACACCATCATCCCCACCTTACCACCCATTACCTTTCTTAACCTTTGGCCCTTCACATCACACAAAAACACACACTCTCCAACATCACACTACCTAACCCACATTTCCAATGGCAGCAGCATCATTAGAGTGCTGGCCAACCCGCACCACCACCACCGCCACAACCACCGAGGACGACACGGCTGAACAACAAGTCCTCATGAGAACACACCATAGATCCGAAGTTCCTTCCACTACTTCTTCTTCTCTTCCCTCCAGTTCCAAAGACTCCTCCACTCTCATCCATAAGAACAAGTTTCACAAATTCAGTCGCAATTTCTCTGATGCTATTACATCTTTCAAAAACACTCTCAACCTTAACAATAACAACAATCCTGAGTCTCCTCCTTCTTCTAAGAAACTCGCTTGGGCCTCTGTTCTTCGTAATCTTACTCAACTCTACCCTGGAACTCAACTTCCTGATAATCTCATCTCTACCATTCGTAATCATTACCATTCTCTCCCTCTCAGGTTCTTCTCTTCATTTCCTTAGTGATTATTGAATGTTCTATTATTCTTTTTACTATTGTGATCAAGGTTTTAAACATCGGTTGCGGTTTCGCGATTTCGGTTGCTACAGGTGTCAACACTGATTGCAATCAATCATCGCGATATGATTGTATCAGATACCGAATTGTCGCGGCTGTTTTTGCGGTAACGGCCACTTTTTAAAATCCGGATTGCGATAGATTACGATTAATTGCAATGAATGAGTAAACAACCACTTTATTCCTTGAATGTGTTGAGGAAGGAATGCTAGTAGAGTCATTGAATATATAAAAATTACAGAAACATGTTGGAATGTGTATTTTGTTAGTTAGTTTAATACAACAGAAATCAACATGGGTCATGGTGATTTTCTTTATTTGTTAATAAAAATGTTTTTTTATTTTTGTGTGTGGATTCTTTTGATAGTTATGCACAAGCTGAATTTGATATGAAGGATGTGTTTCTTCACATCAAGTTGATAGAACAGACATTAGAAAGTGATCAGCCTGCGATTGTGATTCAACAAGAGCGTGGTGGTGGTGGTGGTGGTGAGGTTCAGGTTGAAGGGTCAGTGTTGAAGCTAAGTTTTGCTTGCAACGCTCTCATTTCGTGGCCTGCTATGTCCGCTGTGTTGGGTAGTTTCTCCATTTGTAGCAAAAGGGCTCAAATCTTTGAGAAGAAAGGTTTCACTTTAGGGGTTGTTCTTGTTGTTGTTAGGTCCGGGCACGAAAAAATGGTCAGGAACCAGGTTGAGAATGCTTTGAAGTTTTCTCTAAAGAAATCTAAAACCGGTGCTGTGAATGTGAAGCTTCCATTTGGACTCTGTGGGTGTCAGGAAGAGAGTTTCAAGGGGAGAGAATTAGGGGAGATTGGAGAAGATAGTAGTAGTGGAAAGGAGTTTGAGAATTCTAGCCAAAAGATTCAGCTTCAGGTGCCTTTGCCTACCTCGTCTTTCATTATATCGGTAGACGAATGGCAGACGATTAAATCAGGTGGGGGTGAGATTGAGAAATGGTTGTTGAATGCAGATAATATTGAGTTTACAGAACAAATTCGACACAATTCTTATAAGGGAGTCTATATGGGGAAAAGGGTTGGAATTGAGAAGCTGAAAGGGTGTGAAAAAGGAAATTCTTACGAGTTTGAGCTCCACAAAGATCTTCTGGAACTAATGACATGTGGACATAAAAACATTCTGCAGTTCTGTGGTATTTGTGTGGATGATAATCATGGGTTATGTGTGGTGACAAAGTTCATGGTTGGTGGATCTGTTCACGACTTAATGTTAAAGAACAAGAAGCTTCACAGTAAGGATATTGTTAGAATCGCGGTTGATGTAGCCGAGGGGATCAAGTTTATGAATGATCATGGTGTTGCATTCCGAGACCTTAATACTCAGAGGATTCTATTAGACAGACATGGGAATGCTTGCTTGGGAGACATGGGTGTTGTCACTGCCTGCAAGAGTGTCGGAGAAGCAACGGAGTATGAAACGGATGGTTATAGGTGGCTAGCTCCAGAGGTTTGATTCTATTCATTCACACTCTTTTCAAGTTAACAAAATAATGGTTGCAAGTATTACACATCGCGTCACACAAATATGTTTCCTAATTATACGGTGATAAAATACCGATACGTGTATTTTGGTGACTCTTTGATTTGTATGTTATTAGTGCTTAATTAAGTTTTTTTATCCAAACAGGACTCTAGTTCGTGCTAACTTTAATCCCATCTTTCTTTTTGGGTTAAAAACAGATTATTGCAGGAGACCCCGAGAGTGTGACGGAGACATCGATGAGCAATGTTTATAGTTACGGAATGATAATTTGGGAAATGGTAACCGGTGAGGCGGCATACTCTGCACTTTCTCCTGTGCAAGCAGCAGTTGGCATTGCTGCCTGTGGTCTTAGACCTGAAATTCCCAAAGACTGTCAACCAAATCTAAAATACATTATGACAAAGTGCTGGAACAACACACCTTCCAAACGTCCTCGGTTCTCCGATATTTTAGCCATATTGCTGCAACCATGTAACAACAATAGGTAAATTTCTATGAACAGATAGAGGTGAACCTAAATATGTTGATAGAAATTTATAAAGTTAACATATAGAGATGAATTTCCTATGATAAGAGAGGAACACTAACACATGAAAACTATGATAAGTTTGTGAGGGATAGAAAAAACCAAAACATATCACGTTTTGGGGGCCAATAGTGGTGATTAGTTAGTTCTTCTTTTGCTTATTTCACTGGCGGCTATCTTAATGGGATCAAAAGGTGGGTTCCATTTGGTTTTGTGTTCCCTTGGTAGGGAAATAATCCAACCATTTCAGGTGGGAAGTGTCGCATTCTTGTTTATGTGGGATACAACGATTTTTACACATATATATCTGCTCCCATTACCACATTGAGCCTAATTTATGCATAAAGACAAAGAATTTCTTTAAATATTTGTTCATTGGTGGGGTGGTTAGATTTATATGCATCAAATATTTATATTATATGCATTTATATTATCACTGAAATTATCTAGTGAATCCTTTTTTCCTCTCTTCAATTTCAATATAGCATTACTACTCTGAGTCGGCAGTAGGCCCAATGAGGGATATGCCTAATTAGTCATCCAAAGGCATATTCAGAAAGGGTTGAGGATTTAGTGTGCTACCGATGGTTACCCCCTGTTAGATATGATCTAGCGGACTCTCACACACGCTAAGAAACACGTGGTGGTTCTAACCGTCTTACAAATAGGAATGAGAATAAGTCGGACCGACCTATAGTAGCATATAACCTTGTCTATTTAAGTCTAATATGATCTATTTATTGTAATTATTAATTAATGAAGAGATTAATTAAACACATTTTCGTCAGGGAGTCGGCATCACGGCTACTGCTAGTACCCTCTGGTGTATGGGATGGAGTTCTTCTATTAACCATGGCTGAAAGTGGCTAGGTGTAGAAGTGGGGGGTAACATTGAGTAGGGTGATGGTGATGAAGGTGTGGTCCATGTTAGTTTTATCATAAGTACATGTGTGCATGTTACCACTGCAAGGGCATGTGCACTCGAAGGTTTTAGTAGATGTATAACAAATAGTGGTGGTTAGGGTATGTCCACGGCGGTGCAAAATCCTATAGGATGGTATTTTGTGGTGGTTTAGATGACCTACTTGAATGTACAAGAAACACAAGAAATGGGAGTTTGAATTGGGTTTCAAGTATGATAGATGTTCGCACTCCAAGTCACAAGCTCAAAATAGTGAAAGCAAAGATAAAGTACACAAGGATTTTTTATCCTAATTCACTGTTCACGAGGCTACCTCCAGTCTATTCACCTGGGTGATTTCGCCTTAGAAAAGGACTTAATCCAATAACCAAAACTCATTACAAATGCAGTGACAACCTGTCATTGATTTCTTAAGAATTCTGACCCAACTGGTCCCCTAAGAAATCTGACGGTCACTAACTCCTTAAGATCCTGGCCTACCTGATCACTTAAGAAGATTTAATCATCAATAACTACCCGTTATTGACTTCTCAAGAATCTGACCAACCTAGTCGCTTGAGTAATACAATCAGAGTTGTGATAATAGGTTTTATGTTTACAAGATGTTTCAGATAAACAGATAAACAAGTTTACAATCAGGTTTTCACACTTAAGCAAGATATGTAAAAAATAGGTCTAAGTGTTTGGAATAAGGTCTCTCACTTTTCTTTTCTCTTCTGCACATATGATTTTTATTTGTTCTTATGCTTTGTTATTTGTGGTTTGCTTTATTTTCTCAATTGTTATTTTTTTTCAATGGTTTTTTCTCTAAGCCAGTCTCCTATTTTCTTCATCTTTCAAATCCTTTTTATATAAGAGCAAATAGATTCGTTGGAGGGGTGAAGATGAGATATCATCTAAGTATCCGTTGTATGAATGTCACTTCATATGAAATACTAGAGTCGCGCTCGTAGCCGATAATTGGTAAGGATGATGGGACGTGGAAGACTTATTTAACACAGAGTACAATACTTTACGTAGAAAATAGATTTGTTTTTGTACTTCTATCACATAATATTTGTTGATGAAGCTTGAAAAGCATTTTCAGAGTCTGACATTAGAAATTTGTGGAGACTTCAGAGTCAATGGGGTATTTGGTTCTGAGACTCTCACAACCTTGTAGTCAGACCTTTTATTAGAATCTTTTTGGATGGTTTTTTTAGAAACGTTGACTTAAAACTTCAGAGTTAACTGTATGTAACAAAGTTTTTATCCATTGATTTAGAGACTAGACATCTTAAGAGTTTGAATCTGTTTTCAATTTCTGTACACTCAGCAAAACAGTTAGAGTATAAAATTGTTATCTACACTTTGTTATCATCAAAACATAAAGATAATTGTAGAATTAAACTTGTTTCAACACCACTCACGTGAGGTGAGAGACTCTATATTAGTGGGGTGCTTAGATATACGCGTATGTAAAATGTGATATGTATGATTTAAGATTTTTCTCCTTCTCCCCCTGGGGAGAGGTGTATATAGAGACTTTTTGGGTCTAGAACTTAGGGAACCCATGGGGGTGGCCACCGCTCCGTCATGACTAAGTGAGGTTGTTGACCACATATTCTTCAAGAAATCACATAGAACTCCTTCTTTGCTAACTAATGGGGGACAACGATATTGTACACGTCATCAGTTCCATGAGTGAGTCCCTCTATTCTGTCTGGATGTCACCCAAGCGACATCACTCTCAGACGGAGACACCGAAGTCGCCCTTGTTTAGGATTCTCACAAATATAACATTACAAGTTATTTAAAACTTTTAATGAAGTTAAATGTTTAGAATATGTATCTCAATTAAACTAGATAAAATATGAAATTCACATATGTGACTTTCGAGATGCTATCATTTGAAAGTAGGAGTTGGAGTTTCTCTCACGATATATTTACGAGGCAGGAAAAACACATGAGTATAAGTAGTGTTAGGCGAAAGATGTAGGCGAAAAACCATTAAAGAGAGTGCGTAAGATAACACTGATCTAATCACAAAGAATAACAGGTTCAAAGCCTTGCTACCTTAAATTCCTATTAGATTTTGCATTGTCTTTACCAAGGTTTAGTTCAAATTGAAAGATACTTAACTTGTCATGGCGCAAAAAAATACTCGAGCGTATCGCACACTCGATGACACAACAGATTCGCCACCGAACTTTATTTATTTTAAAAGAAAAAGAAAAATATCGATAAAACACAAGGGAAAGAGAAATGGATAAGGGAGTCGGTTATGCGAGGGGAAAGTATTAGCATCCCTCACATCCGTTGTATTCAACGGGAACCATTTTGATTGTTCTTTGCGCGAATGAGTGCTACTATTTAAAGGTTACTTGCGAAAGAGGAAAAAACGTTTATAATTAATGTGCTCGCGGAGGATTGGGGCCCTCGTGCCTACGTATCCTCATAGTGCAATAAGGAAACCAGAGCTCCGTAATTCGGAGTAGAAAATAAGTGTGTGTTGGTTGTTTTTAGGAGAACCTTTATAATCATATTCTAGAAGTGTGTAGACGTTAGCTGACTTCATCCTAGTTCGGATGCTCCGAACTTTTAGTCTAACTGCTAAGGAACGGATTATAACAGTTATTTACTAAGAAAAAGAAAAAGAAATGTGTTTTGAAAAGTGTTTAAGTGATAAAAGAAAAATAAAGAGTTGATTGAACAAGAAAAAAAAGATTTGAATTGAAATAACAGGAGAGTTTACATAGAAAAGAGTTGTGAAGGTGTGGTAGAATTATCGTACGAACCAATATTGTATTATTGGTTTCATAGGGTAGGTGTGTCTGAACCAAAGAGTGTGGCGTTAACCATTAGATAGTGTGGCCAATGCAGAATTGTAAGATTTTGCCTAGATCCAATGATCAAAACCTACAAAAGTGTGTGAGGCTCCACAGGAAAATGCATGAGGTTTCCAAAGCATGAGGCTCCACAAGACAATGCATGAAAGTTGGCAGAGCATGAGGCTCCACAGGGTAATGCATGAAAGTTGCCAGAGCATGAGGCTCCACAGGGCAATGCATGAAATTTTTTAGAGCATGAGGCTCCACAAGGCAATGCATGAAAGTGTATTAGTTCAGAGATGAGTGTTTGACCATGAGATGCTTAAACCAAAGAAGGCATGGATGCCAAACAAGGTTGTGTTTGGTCCAGAGAGAATAATATTGTTGATGAAAATTATTACAGTGTTGAGGTACGTTGAGGTGTGGGGAAGAAAATTTGTCAATTATTTTATTCAAATTGCACTAAAGTCTATGAATGAAGGTGAATAATTTGAACAAGTGGGTCATTCGTCCCGTATTCAAAGGTATTCAGAATGAGGATATGAATTCCCCCTCTCATTCTTTCTCCACTACTTAAAGCTTGTGGCGTACAATTCACATTATAACTGGCAAGTGTCTGAAGATATATAGGAGTCGTTTTAGTGTGCTTTGATGAAGCTCAACAATGATCAAAGCCTTGATGTCCAGAGTCTTCAAAGTCTTGAGTGTGAAGCTTTAATTGCCTTGAGATGAACTTGATGGATCAAGTGTAGATGCAAGTATAAAGATCTAATTCAATTAAGTGATCAAGAGACTTATGACCACTTGAATGAATCTAAACCTAAAGGAGCATGTAAATTATTTTGAAAGACATTAATTCAACTAATTGATCAAAAAAATTTAATCAATTAATTAAATCAAGGGGTCCTAAAGTCATTAACCTAATTACTTGATCAAAGTATATTTTATCAAATAATTAAATGAATCAAGGAGAATCAAGTCATGAATTAACAAAAGAATTAGTTAAAGGTTTAATTAATTAATTACATAACCCTAAAGAAAATTTATCAATTAATTAACATATTGATTCTACTTCTAGCATTTGAATAATCACTAAAACTAATTAAAAGAAATTAATTCTAACATTTTTAGTAAATTAATATTAATGTTTAACTTTCTAACAAAGCAACTAATGTTTGTTCTAATTATATTTTACAATTTTATTTAATAATAGTAAAAATATAATTAAATAAATAAATTTATATTTTTACAATTATATTTTACAATTATATCATAAACATATATTTTTTATTTTTCTAATTTTTCCAACAATAAAAAATTATTAAATAAATAAACTTATATTTTACAATTATATCATAAACTTATATTTTTGATTTTTCAAATTTTTACAACAATAAAAAATTATTAAATAAATAAACTTATATTTTACAATTATTTCATAAACTTACATTTTTTATTTTTCTAATTTTTACAACAATAAAAAAATATTAAATAAATAAATTTTCTTATAAAAATAACTAAAAAACTCAATTAATATTATAAAATTTTCTTAAGAAAAACTAAGATTTAATATAAAATTAGAAAATATCTCAACAACATATTCTTGGAATCAATACATGTTTTATAATTTTATTTATTAATCGTAAAAATATAATAAAAATTAAAAATAAACTAAACAACTCGCCGCAAAAGTCGCAGAAACATTTACAGCAAATTCCGCAGCAAACTTAATTGTTATATTTCCAAATAATTTTGTGGTTTCAAAGGAAAACTAGTTACTGCGAAAATTATCGCAGTAAAAAATCCGCAGGAAACTTTAAAATCTAAAATCGTAGCAAAACTCTTTGGATTTCCTGCGAAATTTGCTGGTACTGTAATTTTCGTAGGAATTAATATTTTACAATATAAAGACGCAGGTGAAATTGCAGGTATAGCTGCGGATATCTTTCCGCAGAAAACTCCGCAGGTAATCTTTGTGTTTCTAGTAAAGTAAATAAAGCTAATGTAATAATTTTCTAAGTTAAAGTTAAGGTATTAACTCTAACTAATACGGAGCATCAAACAAAATTATCATATTATACATAATGCCCTAGAAAACAAAAACAAAAGAACTGAATAAATATAGAATATTAGGGTTCCTTAAGCTTAATTGAATCACTTCTGGTTTAAGCCAGTTGCATTCTTCACAGCCTCAGCAGCTCCTTGTGCCGATGCCTTCACATGCTGACCAGCCTACATAAAATAAAACAAATATATTATAAAATAATTTTACATTGACATAACGATAATTTCTTAGTTGACGACCGTGTAAAACTATTTTACACTTTGTGTAAAACTATTTCAGTGTAAAATTATTTTACAAAGATTAATAAATTTTCAATTCAAACCTCTTGAACAGTTTCTTTTACAGTGTGAGCAGCATTGCTAGCCATGTCCATCAAGTTGCTAGTCTTCTCTTGAGCTTGGCCCTCTGCCTGTCCAGTATGATGGCTCAACTTCTCTTGTGCTTGTCCAGCATGATGGCTCAACTTCTCCTGAACTTGGCCGTGGGCCTGTCCAGCTTGATGACTCATCTTTTGGGAATCCATTTTCAAAAATGCAATGAAATGAAAGAATTGAAGATTGAAGGTTGAAGATAAGATATGATAATTCAAGTTTGAGATGAAGATTAATGTTCATGCACTATGGTATTTATATGTGAATTTCTCAAACTGTTACATGTTTAAGGTGCTACGTGGAAGATTAATATGTTGTTTGAAGGGTTCTTAGGTTATCATACTATGTAGGAGAGACACTTTAAACGGTTGACCATGAATGTTGTGTGGATGATAATAACTTATTACTATTTTTAGGTATATGATTGATAATTTTGATTTATGAACATTTTATAGTTTATGATTGGATAATATTTGTTAATAACATTTATTGTTAGAAATTGGTATCTATCTAATTAAGGAGTGTAACTAGCAAAATCTTAAGTATAAATTGGTATATGTCCAGTTAATGGGGTGTAACTAGCAAAAGAAATCTAACTTATGATATACATGGTAATTTGACAACACAGTGCATGTTAAAAATTGCAAGCGAGAATGACGTCATTTCGTGTACCTATGATGAATCGACAACATGATAATTACATCTTAAAGAAATCAAACAGCTCTTGATTGAAATCCTCTCTAATGTAGTGTCCCCACATAACTCTTTTCAAACAATGCTTGGTTTTCTCATCATTAGTTTTACTACTTAAATGTAATTTTTTTTTATATGATATAGTAACTTAGTTAACATGTGAATTAATTAAACTAAAAAGATAGAAAAAGAGCAGTACATGTAATTTGAAACGCATAGAGCAATAATGCATGGCATCAGGAAAAAAGATAAAATATCGGCTTTAAACAAGTTTTTGATAACGGTCAACGAAACCTAATTTGACAAATTAATATATTATTTTAATTGAAATTTTATAAAATAAATCAAATATATATTAAAAATTGCGAAACAGACTACAAACTATATCAAAAAAGTAATAAAAGTGGAAAAAAATCGATTAAAGAATGCATTATTCTGCTAAAATATGTATTGGAACAAAAAAAATTTACATATTCATAATTGTGACGAAAAATCGCTTCTAATGATATATTCACATGTTATTAACGGTTAAGAAATAAAAAAAATCACTATTTTCAAGTTTATGTGTCCTATGTCAAAATAAGTGATTATTCTAAGTAATTTTAAAACAGTAGCTTAAATTAATCAACAAGCAAACATCCAGTAATTCATGGCAAGAGTATGGAAAAGTTCGACAGAGCGGAGGTTTGCTCTGATTAGTGTTGAAAATCGAAATGTCGAAGAGATATTTGAAATACTTCGAGAATAAGCTCTTTTAATCCAATTAAATTTCAAGTTTGATGATAATTTTTGATGACGAATGAATATAGAAGAAGAATTTTGAATGTAGAATAGATGAATAAACTTGAATTGATGAACTTTGAATGATGATTGTTGATGAATCTTGATAAATTTTAGATGATAATTGTTGATAGTAATGTGTGAATTGTGGATTAATAATTTGTGGAAAATGGATTGTAGTTAAGTTCCACTATTTTAGAACTTCAATGTGAAGTTCTAAATGGTGATGAATATGAACTTTGGTGATGGCGAGGGAGAAGATGAATTGAGAGAGAATTTGAGAAGAAAAAATGATGGGAAAATAATGGTTAATTGTGTATTTTCTAAGTTAGGTTAGCTAGCCCCAAAATTGTGAAAAATTACATGTTTATATAGACTTTGTAAATGAATAATCACATTTTGGATTGTGATCTAAGTAACGGATTTATCAATTGTTAGAAATTAATTTAATCAATAGTTGCAAATCACAAATTTTAACTCTTGGATTAATTGTTAAGGATGATTAGGATTGAATAAAAAAATAGAAATTGAGATTTGTGTTAGTTTGGAAGTTATGGTAGTTAAGGATTAATTGGGTAATTGAATGATTGTAAGGGATGAGGTAGTTAGATACCAATGGTATTTGAGTTTAGTAAAATTACCAAGTTAGGATGTAAGACAAAGAGTCACTAGTAATTAACTTTAATTTGAATGCTTGTCTTTGGACTTTCACCACCTTTGACTTGAAATTTTGGTGACTTAACTCATGACAATAAATTCTTTTGAGAGATGATTTTGTGTTGAAACTAAGCACTTTTGAATGGTGTAAACTCATAGATCAAATTCTAAATTTTTGGGCTTGAAATTATGTTAGAAAGTGAAAACAAGCCATGAAAGTGAAACTTGATGGAAGATTGAATTTGTTGGAAATTAGCACTTGAAATAATCATGACATGAGTAATTTGTGATGAATGATGATGAATCCATTGATCAAATACTTGTAGAATAGGTCTAGGAAAGTTCAGGAGTTAAAACCGAGTCAATGATTGATAGTTGACCAAAAGTCAATTGTTGACCAAAAAGTCAAATGTACCTAAAAGATGTAATTTTTTACCCAATTTTCTTGCAATCCATTCTTTTGATTTGTATCTCAAAAAAATATGAATTGTACCGTGAATTTTCAATAAATGAATGAAATCTTCATTTTATTCCAATTTTGTCTTTTTCTTTGAATTCAAGCAAACCTTTGAATTAAGTGACAATCAATATGCTCTCGCAGCTAACCATGAATCTCAAATAAAGAGATGATTTGCACCCAAGTAATATGGGAAATAAACCCTAATAATTACCAAATAATATTTGTCATGAAAATCCACTTAAATTGATTACATCCACTGTTACCGAACCTTTGGCCTGAATTTGTTACAATATGCAAATGCCAATGAATGACTTAAATGCATGATCAAATAGACAAATGTATGCAAATGAACAAAATGTCTGAACTGCAGTATAATGGCAAGAAGCAAAAGATTTGAAAGAATTCCCTTCGGGATTTATATCGTCTCCACAAGGATCGATGTGAGGAAAAGAATGTCGTTCGACAATCTCTATATTTCTAAGCTTGGTTTTAATAGTTTAAAAAAGTAAAAAGCGGAAAGTAAAACATATGAGCAAGTAAATAAAGTACGGTAGAGAACTCGCCAGGAATGACATTCATTCACCTATCTAATACACAAATCTAACAATCATTTGTACACAACCTAAATCACTCGTCAATATCATCATGTATCACTCACAACAGGATTCATGTCTAAACTTCTGTCTAGAGTTCAACTGTATTATTTAATCGATGATCTCTCAACTGTATTGTTAAATCTAAATCTATGTCTGGAGTTTACCGTCTAACAAATGCTCATCCTAGATTCAGATCTGAAGAGTATTCTATAATGGTTCAAATCAAAGATAAACAGGTAAACAAAGATGACATATATAAATTCATGAAATAAATTGTATACAACGCCATGATCAATAAATATACATACTATCAAAGTAAACATACATACAAACCCCAACAAGAAAGGTACAAAGAGAAGAAGGAAGATGAAGAGGAATCTTTCACCATGTCCAACAAAGTGACGCAATTCCAACTCCGGATCATCGCTATGCAACCTCTAATGTTGTTTCTAATCTACTCTACACAAAGAATGTGTTTGATGAAGTTAGAGTTAAATTTTCCCAACAACATAACCTAAAAAATGCTGAAAAGTGACTTAAATAGGGGCTGGAATAGCGCAAACCGTGCCAAGCGCGCTATGAGGGCGCTTAGCGCCATCAGTAAAATCAAGTTTCTTGTTTTCTTCATAACTTTCGAACCGTAACTCCGATTGACGCACGGTCTGAAGCGTTGGAAATTTTATTCAATGCTTTATATGACATTGGCAAAATATCCTTACTTGAATACCTACAAAAATGAGATAAACTAAAATTATAAAGAATTATATCTATTACAATCGCGTTAAGCGCCCTCAGCGCGATCTCGCTTAAAGTACTCTCAAACCGACATAAACCGCGCTAAGCGCGACCAAGAAAACCAAGTTTATTTGCCTCTACCATCCACCTCCAATGCGCTGAAAACCGCGCTAAGCGCGAATGCCAGCGTTTTGTTGGTCAAAACTGTGCATCTTGAAGCATTTTCATGTCTCAATTTGGTTCATTCTTCAACCATGCATTATTACCTATAAAACAGAAGAAAAACTATCAAACTTACTGATATGTACATGATTACGCATATTACACACTATAATATAAACTACACAAAACATACACTAAAATTGAGGTTTAGTGGTATAATTAAACTGATAAGTGCCAATTATTTAAATTCAAAATCACTACAATTTAGCACTTATCACAAAACCATAAGCCAGACGAATTAAATGAGGAGATATCGTAAATTTTGGGGTATGTCATAACCATATTAGAATTCTTTGTTTCTTTTCTTTTTGGAATTGGTCTTGTCATTATTAGAATAATTGGGAGATTGTTGTAATTATTTATTAATGAAGAGATTAATTAAATACATAATGACACCTTGCAAGTGAGTAAAGAGTTGTGATACTTAGTAAAAGAGTTGCAACACTTTGTGAAAATGTGTGTTTTTATCAAATGTCGGAATACTTAGTAAACAGTTGCAACACTTGGTAAAATAATGGGTTTTATCAAGGACCTCAATACTTAGTAAAAAGTTGCAATACTTGGTGAAAGCGCATGTTTTATCAAAGTCGAAATTTTGTGAAACAACATCATTTAGTCTATAAATAGACTATTTCGAATTCAAAAAAACATATTAGTTCAAACTCTCATCCTCCTTGTTTAAATTCCAGATTTTATTCTTCTCTACATTTGAATTTTTATTTATTTTGTGCAAACTCGAAATAGACTAAATTATCTTAAGTATTTTATGTGTAGACTTTGAGACAAAATAAAAGCGTGTTTAAAATACTATTAAGAAAGTACTCATACGGATGGATGCCTTGATCCAATTAACTTAAAAACAATTTATAACACTATTTAATAAAAATGTCATACTTAAACTATTAAAATTAAACTTTAAAAAAGTCATACATATATATATATATATATATATATATATATATATATATATATATATCACATTTTAAGTTTATTTTTAATAGTTCTATAT